GAGGATAAACTCTACTCTCGTTCTCAATTTTGCACTTGTACAAGGCTGCCAGTTAAAATGAAGCGGGAATTATTATATACACTATTTTAATCCATGATAGAGTGCGTGTTTCGTTATCTGTCGCTTTCGCTGGTTTACATGAAGTAAAGTTTTCTGCAACGAAAATACCATTCCATTATACCACGAACGTATCGAGTGTAGGAAGAACAATGACAAGACAGCAAACGATATGCCTCCGATTAATTCTATGATAAAAACTATTACAGAACATCTACAATTGACTACAATACACTTAGATAACTTGACAATGTGGAGTTTATCCCCAACCCTAAATAGCGTTTTAAGATTATGGCTGATATCAGTTCGTTGTGGAAACCACAACCGCAATTCCCAACTCCAATGTCCAACTGCAAACCTTAGTGTCAATTTCTCACACTAATTTATAACTCACTCAGCCCTATCAAGTAGATGGAGTCTCAAGGTCACAGAAGGGTCGCCCGAAAGACTTCCGTAAATTATAGCCCCACCACATTTGTTTCAGGTACTATGTTGTTGATATACCCTTGATTATCTTTAGTAAACGATTTCTTCACACGCCAAACACCTAATCCAGTAAGGATATAATCTAAGCTAAGCAAAGTACATTACAATCTTTATGATGAGCCACATAATAGTGAAAGCATGGGTAGAATAATACATATATAAACTCATATTTGAGTGAGTTGACTGAATAGGTACATGCAAACCAACAGTACTTAAGATTATTAATACTATGCAGAATTTCAGTGACTTAATATGCAACATTTAGCCCATAGGTAAGTCGGTAGATAAAAATTTGATTGCGTAGAGGCAAATACAACAGGTATAGAAATAAATTTTACTTTATACGAGTTAACACGATTTTCCGCTTAAAAAAGTGGCAGATTCAGATCTTGAATAGGAATCGTGAGCAAACAAATTCTGTAAAACATGAGGGTACTCACTTTGAAGTCTGGAACGACTTGTTTTCTGGTAAACAGTGTGAACTAATGCATCGATCGCCATATATGCATCGATTCTTAAGGTAAAATGGACAGATATGTTTTCCCTGGTCAAGGAAAAAAGTCATTGTATACAACCTGAAGTTTCATTAGGATGAAACATTATCAAAAGTATAAAAAAATGATTTCAGGATTATTTAAAGTGTAGTTTAGTCGTTTTGTAGTAAGCTGTTATCACTTCATTCTATTAATTGGAATAGTACCTACATGTTTTTATTAGGCTTTCAGTCGTATCTTTTATGCGACGGTTAAATTCACAGGAGTTTCTCGTAACGAGATAGAATGATGATCGGATTTATGATACGGTGTTAAAAATCGAGTGTTCTGAACACTAAAACAAAGCTCCACTCACATGACTGAGTCTAACACTTGCTAAAGTAAAACGAGGTTGACGTTTTTAATCCAGAGGTTAAAATACAAGTAAAAACCGATATCATTAGTAGCGAAAACTGAAATGGGTGTAAGTGGAAAGATACATAAGATAGAAAGATGGGATTTGAATAGTTTGAAAGCTAAACCTAGGAAAATACACGTTGAGGCCATAGTATAGCGATTATGTCCAATAATTACTAATGGTGCCTAAGAACAGACTACGTTGGACAGTTTGTAATTTTAGCAACACACATTTATGCAAGAAAATTTCTGTGTTTAACAATGTTTTAGAGCTTTGACAACAGTCCATTTTGTTCGTCCATTTATCATGAAACAGATAAAACACGAATATATCACCTATTAATCAGTAGATACATTACTATCTTATGTTACTACATGTTTCTGGCACAACTTCAAGCCATTTGCCAAATTCCCCACAGCTAATTTTATGCAAACTTACTGCATGTGACTGACCCTGTTGTTGAAATGCCCGCATCTTCAAAAATAATATATTTTAATACTTTCCAGTTTGTTTGCTTGTATTCGTATGTACTACAATAGTGCCTCCACATATGACATATTGACGGATCTAAAAGAAGACAGAAACATGTGAAGGGATGTGTAATGACTCAGAAGACAAAGGATATATATTGCTTTCCGACTGAAGACAACAGTTAGTTGTTCATAGAAACATAGTTTACAGTACAACAAACCTTTCTTCAGTAACATTATGCACTGACGGTCTATCTAGAAACAATCAACTATGTGATTAAACGGCTGCAATTAAACGCAACTCAATTTCGTAAATGTGCCCTTCAGCTTAGCAACCAATCAGAATGAGGCGGGAATTAATACATCCGCCATCTTTGTAAGTAATGGCGGTAGGCTTTTTTCGTTCTCTGCTTCTTTCAGTTACTTCTTTTGTGTAGCTATGTAATTTAATGTTTCGGTCTCATAAAATAGTGTAATGTTCTACATGTTGGTGTGAAATTTACTTCGAATCAGCATTGTTTTTATGGTTTTTGCTGCTCCCAGACAACCTAAAAAGGGGAAATAAAGGGGAAAACGCATCAGAATGTCGCCTTTTTCGCCTGTCCGGGGTAAATAATGCGGAATTTCCTATTTTTTGCCTTTTTGTCGACAAATTACCCACTTATCGCCTAAACATCCGCTGAATTGTAGCATTTTCGCCTAAATATCCGCTTGAGTCGAAGCTTCTACTCAAGCCAATGTGCTTCTTCAGCCAAGCTGGCTAGTCTTATGTTTTAAAATGATAATCGGTTTTGTTTTGACTTGCTTTTTAGATATCCAAAGCCGGAGTTCGTTTCTCTAGCTAGAGTAACTGTTGTTGCTACCTGTGACTAACTGTTCGCATGTTCGTTCCTAACAGTTTTTTATGATGTTATCGGCAAAATGAAAGGGAACAATCTCCGGTTTTTAATTTTCTTCAGTATAATGGACAACACTATCCCGCTAACGAGTCAAACTAATACTGATTGCCCAGCAGTAGGGGATACCAGTATTGTTTTCGAAAGAACTCAGACTTCCGATAACCATAGACGAAGTCATAGATACTACCAATCTATTGAAGAGGGTTTGTTATTAAAAACATGTCATATAGCAGTAATAGAGGGGTTGTACTCATTACGTAGTGCGTTAAAGCAAGCCTTAACCGAACAAGTGGTATCAGCCCCATCAGTGAATACTTTCAAGGAGAAGCTGAACCTTCACTGGAAAGCAATGTGTCAGGATTAATACAGGTTCTCTAACCTACTATCCTTATTACTGAAGACTGAAAACTAACATTGAAAGCCGGAAATCTGCTATCAGTATGTAGTTTATGTTTGCTGTTTCGGCCATAAAAGGAAGCCGAAGGGTCATGATCAGGGAATAAAAATGTAATTAACTGTTATTATGCTCACTTTTTATAGATCATACTTCACCACTCGCAAATCTGTGTTTTTTTTACTGTATGACATCAATATTTTGACCCTTACAATGAAAAATACCTGGAAATTTTCACCTTCATATTCGAATTATTTTTGGACAACTGCCTTCCAGTTTGATTGCTTCGTACGCCCTGGGAGACTGGATTCCTACATTATTCGTAGTTCCAGTATAACTTTCTCACGCAGCAATTTCAGAATAGACACTAGTCTTTCTAAATAAGCCTGTTAAGCTAATATTCGTATTTTCTATTTCAGTTAATCGATGAAGACATGTACCACGTGCATCTGCTGTATATTGCCATTTCACTCCAATTCTAACTGTTGTATCTTACTTTTAAAAAATAAAATTGCTATATGCAGCAAATATAGACTTATTTGTTTTGATGGAGATAGGGGGGTTTATGAGATTTTTACCAGGACTGTAGAAATATTCTCACTAAAGAGCTAAGTGAGTGCGTATACCGATGTAAGATACCATACAGGGTGCCTTTGAGTTACTCGTGTTCCATTAGTGTCTGTAGAGGCATGAGATTAGACGCAGAGACGGTTAAGATGTGTAACGCGTGCCCATCCATCAGCGGCCGTGGCAACTCATGGTGGCTAGAATAAGTTGAGAAAGGACCCGAGTCTGTAGGTTTCCCAAGAGGATGACGAAGAGATGCACCAAATCACCTTATGAAGAACGCCTCCAATCACTTAACCTCTACCCATTAGAGTATAGACGTCTTAAAGGTGACCTTCTAATGGCTTACAGTACCCTTAACACTTGAAGCAAAACGAAAAAGAAAAAGGCCGAAGAACACACTACGTCGGGAGTCGGAAGCAGACATCAAAAAAATGAATAGCAACTGGAAAGGATTGTCGAGAACAAGGTTGGATGGAGAATGCCAGTGGGTGACCTATGCTCTTCCATGAGGGGTAACAGGAGTAAGTAATTACGAACCATGTGAAAGGACGCTAGAAAGTATTTTCCCTGTCACTGTCGGCACAAGCATTAATACAAAAGCTTGCATATGGTTAGAAATCAAAGTCAGCAATACTGAACAGCACGAATTTATGCTAAATTTTTTGTTCATGTTGATCTGTCTGAATTAGTAAGTCAGTCCCAACGTAATACCTGGTATGTATGCACATCAGTTCAAGCTACCATACTCCATTAGGACATATAAATGAAACTGTCAGGACAAATCCTAGAACAGTAGAGATAGCTGTAGTATTAATGGTAATAAAAAAGATTAGGCATCGAAGATACGATTCAAAAAAATATAAGTTAGTGAAATGAAAATACAAAAACGTTATGGGAAATTTAGAAGCTCAGAATATAGAGGAAAACAAAGAATGGATGAACTTGCGCCATTACAAACGATTTTGAGTCATCTCACTTACAGTCTCTAACCACTGGCTACGACAATCATGCGGACTCCAGTCAGGTAGTCTACACTTGTTTGAATAGGCCATATTCGATCATTTGTTATCAAATTATAGCTTATTCTTATTCACATCGGACTTCGAAAATACGTTATGGATGTGTGGAAACCCTGGGACACGAAAATCTTGGGCCATAGTTTAGAATCAAGAAGTAGATGAATTGGTACAGAATTATTTTAGACACATGATACAATAATGAAACAGTCCATTTTTAAGAAAAAGTACATAAATTTTCTGACGGTGAAGATAAAGGAATTGTACCAGGAACAAAATTTCCAGCTGAACGATATATAGATAGCTCTTTTTCACTCAGTTGGTCGTAGGAGCTATAAACTTCCGAAGCTTCATATCCCCATTCACGATATCGAGATGACTGCATTTTGATTACTTTCTCAGTCTGACGGAATGAAAAACCTGTTAAACCAGGCGATATTGGTTTATTATTGGTTTTACTGACAATATTAGTATCAATGTTAGTTAGGCATCTGGTGAGATTATTTGACTGACTGTTTGGATATTTTGAGTCAATGGCTTCCTTCAAATCTCTGCGATAGGTATGAGATGAATTGGCTGAATAAATGAAAAGTTCAATGTTATTTCAACTAAAATCACTTAAAAGAATACGCAAGGTTTCAAAATTATAATCAATTACCCATCGATGAAATAACAATTACGAGGAAACTACATTTTACTGATGTTTGTTTAAATACCAAAACAGGAAATGGTACTAAACTGAAGATTTAAGGGTGGACTCATTCGCGTCTCGATCAATAGATATGCAGTCATATATTAGGGCTACCTCGCTGACATCCACTGTGGAGCTATTATTCTACAATCATTATGTAATGGAAAGCTGATAGCTGCGCATTAAGCTATACTTCGATGATCACTAACACTATATGTCATGTGTCATTTCTTAAACAGTATTTGAGAGTGAAAAAATGCTAATGAAACATTTAACCTTACAGATTAAGTGATTGCACTATATTACGAACCCCTTAGTTTTAGGAAACACTAGCTAACGAAATCTAAACCAACAGATGGACAAAACTTTATGGGTTCAACCCGAACAAAATTCAATAATAAAAGCTTACGAGCCGGTATATGTTAGACAACCATTGGAAACGTGGATGCACTAGATGACCGTTTCGCCCTAGTATGGGACTCCTATGTAGCAGACATCCACGACCATGCCAGTGGGGACCGAACCCAGGACTACTAGTTTTGCGCGAACACTTAGCTTGTTCAGACCATTGAACCGGAATCTATTGGTGCACAAATCTAACTTCGTTCAGATTAGTTCGTGATATCAATAAAATTCCACAATTTTCATAACCCAATACTGAAAAAGTTGTCTTTCATATTTCAGTATTTCACCTGATGATATTCAGTCTTATTATTTGATGTTTTCATATCATTCAATGATTAACCAAATGCCGTGGTACGGCCGAAAGTGGGGAGAGTCCGCTCTCCCTCTCGAAATACTCTCACATGGTCACGCGTATATAGCCTCTGCCAGGGAAGTCCTACTCACTGCCTTCTCATGGCGGGGGTGTTATTTGCGAAAATGAGAGGACGAAAAGCGAATGTCCGGCGCTTTAACCGGATTCCAAATCAATGGTGTACATGGGCTCCAGTATCCTGCAGGAACAAATGGCGAATGAACCAATTGTTGGTCACCGGCTTCCATGGGACTGCATCTCCTTACGATGCTCCACTGCCTTGTGGATCAGACCTTCAGGTCGAAGGCTCGGGGTGTGCCCCCCTGCTTCGGTTTGGGCACCCGGGCAGTATCACAGCCCTCACACATATCGAATGAGATTTGTGTGGCGCATATGTATTTGGTGCCTCTTTGTACAAATATCTATGTGTTGAAATAAATAAATAAGAAATACATAGTTTGACTAGGTATGGATTAGTTTAAAAGCTCACTAGAATTGAAAATATCATAACACATGAAATATAAACCAAATTAATCTGTTACCACAATTACCATTTATATTGTGTGAAAATGTACATTTGATTTCATTGTGACAATAGCCTTGTAAATAAAATTTACAAGGAATAGATCTAAAGTTAAAAAGAGGGCTTTGTGTTTAATTAAAGCTCTACAACAAGAAAATAAATGTTTAAAGCAATGAAATGTATATTATTTGCCCAGCACATTTTATATTATATCATGGATTGTACATAAATCGTACAAAATATCACTTAATAGAATTCATCTGCATTAAACATCCACTAAATGAGTCAAAATATATGAGCAGACAAGAAACAACAAAGCACCATTTGCAACAATGGAGATTTACGAATTAAAGAATTTACATTTTCAGTCGTTATATCTATAGAAGTTCAATTGCGACTTGTAGGAATGAGAAACAGGATACAGAGTGTGAAAATTTCAAGTGATTTGAGCTTTATGGGCCTGGCAAACATGCTTTAGGTCTACTGAGCTGAAGTATGATGACATGTTATAGGCTGAGACCCTAAGTATATCTGCTGGTTTTATTATGATAGTACAACCAAAGGTCGTTGAAACGAATCTTATCCCCAAAGTTTAACTGAGCAATTAAACACGTTATTAAATAGGCTTATGATTATTGATTTAATTTTGGGTATGTAGAAATCAAAAACTTTATTTAGATCTGCAAAATGACTCATATACATGGTGACTGATTTAAAGCAAAATGGCTCCAAATCTGTCAGTGTTGATTTTTCGTATTCCTCTTAGTTTTACGCTACATTTCTTCGTTGCTTCTATAAAACTCCTCTACTGTTAGAGTTCTTATTTTTACAGGCGAGATTATTTTATGGGCGAACCAATCAGACTAAGGACAGTGAGTCTTGTATTTTGGCGCGAAATTCATTCATCTAAACAGCTACATACGGGTGAGGATAAACTCTACTCTCGTTCTCAATTTTGCACTTGTACAAGGCTGCCAGTTAAAATGAAGCGGGAATTATTATATACACTATTTTAATCCATGATAGAGTGCGTGTTTCGTTATCTGTCGCTTTCGCTGGTTTACATGAAGTAAAGTTTTCTGCAACGAAAATACCATTCCATTATACCACGAACGTATCGAGTGTAGGAAGAAAAATGACAAGACAGCAAACGATATGCCTCCGATTAATTCTATGATAAAAACTATTACAGAACATCTACAATTGACTACAATACACTTAGATAACTTGACAATGTGGAGTTTATCCCCAACCCTAAATAGCGTTTTAAGATTATGGCTGATATCAGTTCGTTGTGGAAACCACAACCGCAATTCCCAACTCCAATGTCCAACTGCAAACCTTAGTGTCAATTTCTCACACTAATTTATAACTCACTCAGCCCTATCAAGTAGATGGAGTCTCAAGGTCACAGAAGGGTCGCCCGAAAGACTTCCGTAAATTATAGCCCCACCACATTTGTTTCAGGTACTATGTTGTTGATATACCCTTGATTATCTTTAGTAAACGATTTCTTCACACGCCAAACACCTAATCCAGTAAGGATATAATCTAAGCTAAGCAAAGTACATTACAATCTTTATGATGAGCCACATAATAGTGAAAGCATGGGTAGAATAATACATATATAAACTCATATTTGAGTGAGTTGACTGAATAGGTACATGCAAATCAACAGTACTTAAGATTATTAATACTATGCAGAATTTCAGTGACTTAATATGCAACATTTAGCCCATAGGTAAGTCGGTAGATAAAAATTTGATTGCGTAGAGGCAAATACAACAGGTATAGAAATAAATTTTACTTTATACGAGTTAACACGATTTTCCGCTTAAAAAAGTGGCAGATTCAGATCTTGAATAGGAATCGTGAGCAAACAAATTCTGTAAAACATGAGGGTACTCACTTTGAAGTCTGGAACGACTTGTTTTCTGGTAAACAGTGTGAACTAATGCATCGATCGCCATATATGCATCGATTCTTAAGGTAAAATGGACAGATATGTTTTCCCTGGTCAAGGAAAAAAGTCATTGTATACAACCTGAAGTTTCATTAGGATGAAACATTATCAAAAGTATAAAAAAATGATTTCAGGATTATTTAAAGTGTAGTTTAGTCGTTTTGTAGTAAGCTGTTATCACTTCATTCTATTAATTGGAATAGTACCTACATGTTTTTATTAGGCTTTCAGTCGTATCTTTTATGCGACGGTTAAATTCACAGGAGTTTCTCGTAACGAGATAGAATGATGATCGGATTTATGATACGGTGTTAAAAATCGAGTGTTCTGAACACTAAAACAAAGCTCCACTCACATGACTGAGTCTAACACTTGCTAAAGTAAAACGAGGTTGACGTTTTTAATCCAGAGGTTAAAATACAAGTAAAAACCGATATCATTAGTAGCGAAAACTGAAATGGGTGTAAGTGGAAAGATACATAAGATAGAAAGATGGGATTTGAATAGTTTGAAAGCTAAACCTAGGAAAATACACGTTGAGGCCATAGTATAGCGATTATGTCCAATAATTACTAATGGTGCCTAAGAACAGACTACGTTGGACAGTTTGTAATTTTAGCAACACACATTTATGCAAGAAAATTTCTGTGTTTAACAATGTTTTAGAGCTTTGACAACAGTCCATTTTGTTCGTCCATTTATCATGAAACAGATAAAACACGAATATATCACCTATTAATCAGTAGATACATTACTATCTTATGTTACTACATGTTTCTGGCACAACTTCAAGCCATTTGCCAAATTCCCCACAGCTAATTTTATGCAAACTTACTGCATGTGACTGACCCTGTTGTTGAAATGCCCGCATCTTCAAAAATAATATATTTTAATACTTTCCAGTTTGTTTGCTTGTATTCGTATGTACTACAATAGTGCCTCCACATATGACATATTGACGGATCTAAAAGAAGACAGAAACATGTGAAGGGATGTGTAATGACTCAGAAGACAAAGGATATATATTGCTTTCCGACTGAAGACAACAGTTAGTTGTTCATAGAAACATAGTTTACAGTACAACAAACCTTTCTTCAGTAACATTATGCACTGACGGTCTATCTAGAAACAATCAACTATGTGATTAAACGGCTGCAATTAAACGCAACTCAATTTCGTAAATGTGCCCTTCAGCTTAGCAACCAATCAGAATGAGGCGGGAATTAATACATCCGCCATCTTTGTAAGTAATGGCGGTAGGCTTTTTTCGTTCTCTGCTTCTTTCAGTTACTTCTTTTGTGTAGCTATGTAATTTAATGTTTCGGTCTCATAAAATAGTGTAATGTTCTACATGTTGGTGTGAAATTTACTTCGAATCAGCATTGTTTTTATGGTTTTTGCTGCTCCCAGACAACCTAAAAAGGGGAAATAAAGGGGAAAACACAACAGAATGCCGCCTTTTTCGCCTGTCCGGGGGAAATAATGCGGATTTTCCCCTTTTTTGCCTTTTTATCGACAAATTACCCACTTATCGCCTAAATATCCGCTGAATTGTCGCATTTTCGCCTAAATATCCGCTTGAGTCGAAGCTTCTACTCAAGCCAATGTGCTTCTTCAGCCAAGCTGGCTAGTCTTATGTTTTAAAATGATAATCGGTTTTGTTTTGACTTGCTTTTTAGATATCCAAAGCCGGAGTTCGTTTCTCTAGCTAGAGTAACTGTTGTTGCTACCTGTGACTAACTGTTCGCATGTTCGTTCCTAACAGTTTTTTATGATGTTATCGGCAAAATGAAAGGGAACAATCTCCGGTTTTTAATTTTCTTCAGTATAATGGACAACACTATCCCGCTAACGAGTCAAACTAATACTGATTGCCCAGCAGTAGGGGATACCAGTATTGTTTTCGAAAGAACTCAGACTTCCGATAACCATAGACGAAGTCATAGATACTACCAATCTATTGAAGAGGGTTTGTTATTAAAAACATGTCATATAGCAGTAATAGAGGGGTTGTACTCATTACGTAGTGCGTTAAAGCAAGCCTTAACCGAACAAGTGGTATCAGCCCCATCAGTGAATACTTTCAAGGAGAAGCTGAACCTTCACTGGAAAGCAATGTGTCAGGATTAATACAGGTTCTCTAACCTACTATCCTTATTACTGAAGACTGAAAACTAACATTGAAAGCCGGAAATCTGCTATCAGTATGTAGTTTATGTTTGCTGTTTCGGCCATAAAAGGAAGCCGAAGGGTCATGATCAGGGAATAAAAATGTAATTAACTGTTATTATGCTCACTTTTTATAGATCATACTTCACCACTCGCAAATCTGTGTTTTTTTTACTGTATGACATCAATATTTTGACCCTTACAATGAAAAATACCTGGAAATTTTCACCTTCATATTCGAATTATTTTTGGACAACTGCCTTCCAGTTTGATTGCTTCGTACGCCCTGGGAGACTGGATTCCTACATTATTCGTAGTTCCAGTATAACTTTCTCACGCAGCAATTTCAGAATAGACACTAGTCTTTCTAAATAAGCCTGTTAAGCTAATATTCGTATTTTCTATTTCAGTTAATCGATGAAGACATGTACCACGTGCATCTGCTGTATATTGCCATTTCACTCCAATTCTAACTGTTGTATCTTACTTTTAAAAAATAAAATTGCTATATGCAGCAAATATAGACTTATTTGTTTTGATGGAGATAGGGGGGTTTATGAGATTTTTACCAGGACTGTAGAAATATTCTCACTAAAGAGCTAAGTGAGTGCGTATACCGATGTAAGATACCATACAGGGTGCCTTTGAGTTACTCGTGTTCCATTAGTGTCTGTAGAGGCATGAGATTAGACGCAGAGACGGTTAAGATGTGTAACGCGTGCCCATCCATCAGCGGCCGTGGCAACTCATGGTGGCTAGAATAAGTTGAGAAAGGACCCGAGTCTGTAGGTTTCCCAAGAGGATGACGAAGAGATGCACCAAATCACCTTATGAAGAACGCCTCCAATCACTTAACCTCTACCCATTAGAGTATAGACGTCTTAAAGGTGACCTTCTAATGGCTTACAGTACCCTTAACACTTCTGGGCATCCTCTTAAACACCTACTTAAACTTAGTATCAACACTAACCTAAGGGGTAACATCCAGAAACTGAAGACACAACATAGCAGGACGGACTGTAGACGCAACTTCTACTCCTTATGAGTTGTCAAGTGCTGGAATTCGCTGCTCGCCGAGCTAGACCATGCGACTTCTCAGAAGTCCTTTAAGAGGCAACAAGATATATTCTTAAGAATAAAATCATACTATGATTTACCAATTTCTTTTCCCTCTTTCATTGTTAATATACCTATGTTCCTACCTGGAGGTTTTGGTAATCGCCTGCTACTAGACACGGAAGCCTGTTGAGCGAAAGCATCTACTCAGTCCACAACCATTTGAACACATGAACTAGGTGCTGAGAGGCTCGCTTATCACAAGTTTCTTGCAACGATTAAGCAGATAAAACAAAGTAGCCTTAGATTCAAAAATTTATTCAAGAACGTTCATTAAGAATCGAATATCAAACAAAGGTTTAAACCAAGTTTCCGTTTAGAAGTTGTATTGGTAATGTTGAGCTGCAGTTTTTGTTGTTTTTTTCCAAACGAAAGAGTTAAAGTCAAAAAATACTGGAAGTGGTTGTGAGACTAAAATGAACGTCCAGTATCCTTTTTATAATCTGCTGTTAGTTGGGTCTCCCGTAAACAGTTCCATAGGGCCATAGTTCTAAGGGCGAAACAGTTCTTAGGATCTGTGAAGGCTCACTCCTGTTGCATTCTGAATGAAAAAATAGTGATGAATTTAGTCGGAAATGTGGAATAGATAAATAAACAAATTACATGTTTTTTAGCAAAGAATTTATGCAGTTGCGATTTACCTTGAGTTCATGAATATTAGATAAGGTCAGCTACTTCTACTTATGCAAAGCATAACATGGGCTTAGTACCGTATCGCAATACTTTTATTATTTTGCTCCCATTTAAGTATTCCCATGCACCTGCGTCTAGTTTAACAGGAAGACATACAGAGTTAGTGTCTGATAAACTAAAAGTCTCAGTTGTCAAAAAGATTCTTAATATTTGTCCACAGCCAGCTGCATTTAATTGAGACACAGAACACTCATCTTCTAAGACTGTATACTGCTGTTTTGCGGGCAACTAAAAGCTCAGACGCTTAGCTATCTTGCCACCAATGTTATTGCTGGGGAAATTGTTTAATGACAGTGATCATGAAATATAGTCAGTGGTAGATGTGCAGTCTTGAAATAAACAACAAACATACTTATCGCTTTCTTATAATGTATGACAGCAACAGCATAAAAGGCACATTTTTTCCTATTTTTAATCAGACTGATCTGAATCAGTATATTCATTAGAAACAGGCAACTCTACTTACTAAACTGATCTGTTTCGTTACACGCTTTAAGCACTTTACTTAAGAATACCATAATCCTTTCAACCAAACTGAACTATGTGACAACCAAGAATACTAAACTAAGCAAGTGTCATAATTATTGTTCCATTTGCACAGACATGTTGCTTAAAGTAGTTAAATGGACCTAATTAAGACGATAAAACCAAAACACGAAATATAGGCCAGTTGAACTTACCTAACAGAAGACAAAGGAAATATATATTGCTTTGATACTGAAAACAACATGCAGTTGTTCATAAAAACATAGTTTACAGTACAACAAACCTTTCTTCAGTAAAGTCATGCACTGAAAGTCTATCTGGAAACAATCAACTATGTGAATAAACTCACTATGACTTGAGATATCATCCCAGTATGCAATGGACGTGCAGTGTAACGCAGTCGGACATGGCGAATAAAAAATGAACAAGAGCAAAATTAGCTGCATAATCTAGCTATTTAATTGAAAATACACTATGAAATGACAAAATATGTGGTTACTTGAACGCACAAATGACAGTATGCGATACATTAAGTTTACATGGTTGCGTTGCGGATAAGATCACCCGATTAAACTCACTATGACATGGGATAACCTCTCAGCGTGCAGTGAACGTACAGTGTAACGCAGTCAGACGTGACGAATAAAAATTTTAAAAAAGAGCAAAAATAACAACATAATCTACTTATTTAATTAAAAAAACATTATGAAATGACAAAATCTGTGTTAGCTTGAACGCACAGATGACCTTGTGCGATACGTTAAGCTTACATGGTTGCGTTGCGGATAAATTCACCCCTGAATATTGGTATGAACTTCATATAGGATGTAAAAACGACCTTTAGAATGCGTCGTCGTAAAAACTCAATCAAAACAAACGTGAAATAATTGAATATCATGATAGTTTTAAGACCGCGTGTCTAATTCTGTCATTTACTCACTGATTATGCTATGGCTAAACTAAGCATGTGTGGTGGTAAATAAATCCCCAAACTAAATAGCTCTGTAAGTTTTCGACATTGGATGCTGACCATATGTTTTAGTGGACTCATCTAGCTGAAGGAGCTCGGTCATGAATCCGCACTAGATCACCTGTGGTAACGCTGTGCTCAACATCTACCTCAATCGCTAGCCAGATTAGATCAGAGAATTCCGGTATATTGGTAATCGCTAAATACACTATTCCGATGTCCTCGATTCTGTCTTTTGATTTCTCTTGGTGGGTACAAATTATATTAAAAGGTTGCTGGTAAAAGCGCGGTCAAACTATGAATACGTGTGCCATATTCATTGGTGAGACCGACGTGATCTGGTACAACTAATTGCAACTGTGAGTCTGTTCCTTTTTGGAATTTTTATATGTTATTGCCTTATCTTTTTCTTTAATATAATATTATATATATATTTC